GGGCCTCGACCGATCCGGTATGGGAATTGTTTTAGTGATTCGCATATTTTGATTTGGCTAAACCGGATGCCCTTCCTGACGCAACCCTCACCATTTATCCGGGCTTGGGACCGGCACTATAGTATCACTATAGTAGCACTGGCTTGTGTACCCTAGTGGCTGGTTTACACTCTTTACGACTAATCAAATAAATACACAAGCAAATGTAAAACGCCTTTCATTCGTGTGTACTTACTTTTTCTCTTCTGGCGGATGACATCGATTGCGGGAAAATGTATTACTTCCGATTGATTAAATGATCGGAGCAAAATGCACCGCCGAGGCGGAGGCTCGCGGCGGAAGTATGGGCGATACCTCACCGAACAGCTTGCTGACTGGTTACTAGTGCCGCCCTTTCTCAGGAGTTGATTTGCCCTTTTGCCCCGTGTTAGGTTTGTTAGGAAACTGTAGGACTTTCTTAGGAGTTTGTTGGTAAACATTAGCCATAGCCTTAGTGGTTAAGCTATAGCCTTAAAGGAACGTCCTTTCTTTGTTTGGTAAACTTTTATAGTTTACCAAACAAACTTAACTTGTTTGGTAAACTTTTATAGTTTACCAAACAAACTTAACTTGTTTGGTAAACTTTTATAGTTTACCAAACTTGAATTTATAGAGCTACAATTCTTCTTCATCCCACACGTTTTATTTATTTGCATGTTACATTAGGAAAACAACGGTAAGACCAACAAGGAACAAATTAGAGAAAAAAAGTATAACGTTTCTAAATATTATATTTTCCTTTAAAAAATAATGTTTGTCATCGTTATTGGAATACGTTTTTAATTAGAGGTTGTTTAGTTCGTCAAACTATAAGTAAGCGTATGCCATTTTGTGTTTTGCATATCATAACCCTGTGTTGCATTACAACTTAAGCCACGTGTATATTGCTTTTCGCCAGTCTATTTTCCTGTGTGGCCGTGGTTCACGTGACCTCACATTCTTTATTCTGACCAATGAGAACGAGAGCATGGGCTGGGCTTTAATGGGTGAAAGCCAATCCAGTGTAACGTTTGTGACCGTCTTTTAGGAATAGTCATATCCGGGTGAGCTTTTCGATGTGAGTTGCTAATGCTGACTGAGACAAAAATTATGAGTTTAGAAATATTGGTATTTCATTTTTAGTGTTATTTGCGCCAACACAAAGGCGGAACTACTACACTAGAACACAATTTGTAGAGATAGGACATTCTCGATGTGACCTTTTATCACTTAATTTAGGGGAAGCAGCTAGCCCTTTAGCTTTCAGCTAACAATTGTCGCTATAATCTATGCCCGGCTTCGCTTTGTCACCATTTGTATTTTCAAACCACAATCCCTATTGGTTGAGTTTAACGTGTCTTTGTCTTAATTCCGCAGATCAGTCTTCGTTTTCACTCTCAAGCTGTTGGCTCTCGGTGTTCATGATGTACGGATCCTTCCGGGTACTGCTACAGGTGCTGTGGGCCCTGCTGCTCTGGGGCTGGGCTCTCGGCTCCGAGCTGACATTTGAGCTGCCAGACAACGCCAAGCAGTGTTTCTACGAGGATATTATAATCGGTACTAAATGTACACTAGAATTCCAGGTACGTCTTGTCCACTTTCGCTACTTCTGGACAACCTGGCTGAAAGGCAGCGTGACTTGTTGTTTAAATCTCCATTAAGACGTTTCCTTAGTGGCTTTTTTTGAAGAAAATAGTGTATGGTGGCATTTTTACGATTAACTTCTGTGACCGTGGTTATTACGTACTCAATTTATTTTGTTAAAGTAACCTTTAAACTCATTAAAGAAATACGTTATCCACTGTAACACTGTCAGTGTTATTGTTTTCTTTGTTGCATCAGCGACTGTGTAGTTATATTTTTATTTTGCCTGAAACATTGGTCTCTTCTGTACTTTATAGACTTTAATACAGTGATATACTGTTATCTCTCCAGGTGGTGACTGGTGGTCACTATGATGTGGATTGCCGATTGGAGGACGGGGATGGAAACATCCTGTATAAGGAGATGAAGAAGCAATATGACAGTTTTACCTTCACTGCATCCAAGAATGGCACCTACAAGTTCTGCTTCAGTAATGAGTTCTCCACCTTTACACACAAAACTGTATATTTTGATTTCCAGGTTGGAGAGGATCCTCCACTCTTCCCCAATGAGAACAGAGTCACTGCTCTAACCCAGGTGAGCAAGTCTGTGTGTCTTCAACCATATCCACGTTAGTAGGTGTTTCACACTGACTTTGTTACAGTTTTGCTTTATTCTTAATCGACATCTCTTCCTTTTTTATTGTTACAATTGCACTTGTAAGAAATATTTCTAGAAAAATAACTTTGAGGTTTTAATTTCCTGTACTATTTTATAACCCCAAGCAATTCACAGCATAGCTTCATGTCACTTCAAATATGTTTAAGGAGTTTAATCAGCTGTTTAACTAAGTTTAAGTGTTCCATACATGAAGCGATAGCCTTTTGCAGTTGTTTTTTCTCGTCGGGTATTAACCATAACATGTTAATTATTGCTAATTACACAATTTTTAAATCATTAAAATTTTCTTCAAAGCTGCACCAAAAACATTTAAATGTAACTTTGTAACTTTTATACATGCCCCCAAACAAAATTAAATTCAAGGAATCTTAAACAACTGAAGATATTTAAGTCAAACACATTTTAAATGTCATACACAAATCTTAGCTTTTATTGTCTCTTTTTTTCTAGATGGAATCAGCTTGTGTCTCCATCCATGAGGCTCTGAAATCTGTCATAGACTACCAGACACATTTCCGCCTCCGTGAGGCTCAGGGACGCAGTCGTGCAGAGGACCTGAACACTCGTGTTGCGTTCTGGTCTATTGGAGAAGCTATTATCCTCTTGGTGGTCAGCATCAGCCAGGTTGTTCTGCTGAGAAGCTTTTTCTCTGACAAAAAAACCACTACAACACGTGTTGGATCGTAACATTCTCTGAGCTCTGAGGTCTTAATTTTTACCTCCTGAGCTTGTATGCATGGAGTTGCCTTGAATAGCAGTGCTGATCTGGAACGGTTTTATATCGAACTGCCAGATCTCACAATCTGACAGGTCCTTTATGTTTATCACTGCTCTTCCAGGAAACTTCATGCAAAATGAGAATCAAAAAAGAAAGCGTGCGGTTTAAATTCTGACAAGAAGTTAAATGGAGAAAAAAAAAAGAAAGTCTCTTTGTGTTGCTTGTAAATATTTGTATTTGAAGCAGTTAAAGCATCTGGTCATTCAGGCAAACCTTTAAACTTTTGAGTATTTGAAATAATTTCAATTTTTTTTCTTACATTGTTTGGATGTTCAGATTATTAAGGGTGCTGTTGGGTTGTTTTTTTCTTTTGTCTGCAGAACATTGGGTTTATATCCTTTAAAGTAACATTATTTGTTAGAAAACAAAATAATTCTCACATCTTTATTATTAAACCTGGTTATGTTTGGTAGTAATGACCAGGTATTGTCTTTGCTTTTACTGGTTTTGCCATTTTAAATAAGTCATTTAAAGTGGTAATGCTGTGAATTGTAAAGTCTCTTTACTATGAGTCCAAAGTGGTGGCTTAGTGGTTAAGGAAGTAGACTTGGGTCCGGAAGGATTCAGGGTCGAGTCCTACAGCTGTCAAGTTACCACTGAGGTGCTCTGAGCATGGCACCATCCCAACACACTGCTCCCTGGCTGCATAAAGCTGCCCACTGTTCACTTTGGTGATGGTTAAAAGCAGAGGTCACATTTCGTTGTGTGCAGTGATGTGCTGTGTCACAATGACAAGTAGTTCACTTTCCTCACTTTGCTTAAAGGTAAGGATGTAAGGGTTTGCAAAATAACATTTTTGTCAAATATGTTGCCTATAGTTCATTGAACAAAAATGTTCAAATGTTCATTGAACAAAAATGAAAAGTTCTGTTTTCAAGTTCATGTTTTTTGCTAAATACTGCTTGAATATAAGGATTCTCGTACCTTCTGAGTTCTTGTTGTAATTTTGAATTAGACCAATTTGAAAGTGACAATGTTTTGCAAATCAGTTGTTTTGTGATTTTAATATAATGATCTTGATTTGGGTAATTATTTTATAATATAATTCATAAGGACTTATGAATATACAGTGCAAGGCCTGAGTCAGAAGAAGCTTTAAAACGTTGGTGTCTTGTTCTTTAATGTATTAATGTCATACACACAATAACAAACCACGTACACCAGTAAATATGGAATGTATCCTGTCCCCCCTTTAAAATGACACTAAAATTTAAGTAGCACTTCTTTCTTTCAAAATTTGCTGTGTAGCTTTAAGCAACATGAAGTTCCATTTTGTGCCTCAGTGTCACTTACCTTATGCCTGGAGAGAAGCCTGCATTCTGATGCAACTTTTTAAAGGGATTATTTTAAGCCGTCAAAATAAATTGCATGTTCAGGTCAGTTTATACATACATTCACAAATTATGTTATGCGCAATTTCTGCTATCAACGTAACAATGTTTTAACTTATTAACAATGTGCCTTTAACTTTTAATTACACATGATAACTGCAAAGTGGCTCCCAACATTCATGCAAATAAGTTAGCATAGTCGATCTTCATGAAGTTATTTTACTTAACGAATGATACAAAATGATCTAAACAATATGCTTGTAAAGTTTACACAAACCTATACGTTAAATGAGGCGTGTCGTTTCTGACCCTGCTTTGCATGCTCTCAACCTGCGGGGAGTGATAGAGTCAAGATCCTGACAACTGCAGCGGCAGATTAGTGAAGTAAAACATTGCGTCACCCTGGCAGATTTACAAGCTTTATGATTACGATTATTATTATTATTTCAATTAGCAAATTTGTAGGTAACATAAAAAAGGTTATTTGCGAAGAACAGAGTTTATCTGGGTTATTTTGTACTACTAACAGATTAAAAAGAACATAATATAATAAATAAAAGTCAATGAAACTGCAATAAAATGTTATTAAAATAAATAAAACGCATATATATATAACTAATGAGAATGAGTGAGTGAGTGAGTGAGTGAGAATAATACGCTACTGAATACTGGCTCGTGTACAAGGTACGTTGCAAAAAATGTAAGACTAGAGATATTTATTAATCATGTAAACAAAACGCAGGACAGAGTGAAAAATATTAGACTTTTGTAGCCACTGTTTTTTTTAGGTGAAAACAGACACACAGTCGCCCTCAGCTTAAGACGGTGACAAGAATTGACACTTTGTGGCAAAGTAAGACGAAACCTGTGATTTCCGGGAAAAAGTCAGGAAGGCGGAACGCTTAATGTTTTTATTGTATTTTGATTGGTTGAGCAGCGCTGAACTTGCTCTGTGATTAGTTGTTCAGACGCCAATTTTTGGCTCTGCCCGAGGAAAAAAACCACTGCGTTGCGTTTGTGATTTGACAGAAAGTGAGTTGTGATCCGGTTGAGCCGTGGGTGGATAGAGAGAGAGCCTTCCCTTGTTTACCTTCATCCGAGCTGAGATAACAGCGTTGCCAGTGCATACTTGATTTATTGTTCTTTGTTGTTTTTTCAAGATAAGGTTTGTCCATTTATTCCTTGGTATGTTTTTGGAGATAGAACGCCCTGGATGTCAGGGATTCCCCCAAACTAAAGAGCGACCGTTGTTTCCCAGGCTAAGCTAGCAGGCAGGCAGTCACACAGCCAAACGGGTGGGGGTGGATTTCTACATTTCGGCCCTCGGAAAGTTAATTTAAACGACATGTGAGGAGCATGTTGTTGAACAATGACAAGCAGAGGGAGTGGGTGTAATGGTGGAGAGCTCGTAGAAAGTGGAGAAATGACCGTGGATGATCATTGCTAACTCTGACCAATGCTGGACTAAAGGCCTCAAACGCTTTTGCTATCCGTACAACGGGCCGATTATGATGGGTTACGAAAATTGAGGTTCATAATGTTAACATATTCTCGTGACTTTTAAACCAAAAGCCAGCGTCAGTCATAAAGTGAGCTTGTAAACAAAGAGTCCGGAGCTCCACCTGTCCACAACGACGTTACACCTCGAGGTACTGTCTGAATATTGTATGAAATCCACCCACTGAAATGGATTTAAAGACGGCAGTATTTAATGCAGCAAGGGACGGTAAACTTCGGTTGCTACAGAAACTCCTGGAGAACAAAGATGGACATGAAGTGACAAAGATAATTGGCGAGAAAACAAACGGGGCCACGCCGCTCCTGATGGCCGCCCGTTACGGCCACCTGGACCTGGTGGAATATCTGCTGGAGTGCTGCTGCGCATCTGTGGAGGTAGGTGGTTCAGTGAACTTTGACGGAGAGACCATAGAGGGGGCTCCACCGCTTTGGGCTGCCTCGGCGGCAGGACACCTAAAGGTAGTCCAGTCTCTGCTGGGCCATGGTGCTTCAGTCAACAGTACCACCGTGACTAACTCCACACCACTGAGGGCAGCCTGCTTTGACGGACACCTGGACATTGTGAAATATCTAGTGGAGCACAAGGCTGACCTGGAGGTAGCCAACCGACATGGTCACACATGCCTGATGATTTCCTGCTACAAGGGACACAAGGAGATAGCTCAATACCTGCTGGAGAAAGGTGCAGATGTTAATCGGAAAAGTGTTAAAGGTCAGTGAACGACTGTGGCCCAACTGTCCTGTTGTATACATATGTCACTTTTCTTCACAAGATCAGACAGTTATCCATTTGAGTGTGGGTGTAAATATACAACTGAGGGACTTATGCTAAGTTTGATTTGATCCCTATCCTTAGACCACTTTCTAACCACTGAGATCAGTAAGTGTACGAAAAAAACAAATCAAATTTCACCTAATTTGGTATGGTTGTTAATGGAAATAAGAAGATAATTTTATTTCATTACATTTTCTTTTGGTGTGTGGTGTGAGATTTTTGTAATGTAGTATTTAATAAAGTATTTGTCAGTGGTCAAAATAGGCTGGGAAACACTGTTGTAGCCTATTAGTTAAAGAACACCCTATAGTTTATCAGGCAAGCTAATCACCCCCTGTAAAAATATGGCAGCAAAGCATCTTAAGTACCACATTTCATGGTCAAGGCTCATATGGAAACCTGAAATGTGCCTTGTCTTAATTCCAACCATGATCCAAATGGGAGCTTCTCTCTTCACGTGCCTGCTGTTGCTCTACCTCCTTCCCTAACTGTTTTTTACACAGTGACTTAAAGGTGCCTTCATATGGTATTTTTGTTTGAATATTTGCTAACATATCTAAATATAAGGATACATATTAGACACCATAAAATGTTTGAGTTTTATGTTTACTAGTAAAGAAATAAAATTTCTGTTACTAACTAAAGAGAGCTTTAGTTTAAATCAGTACTAACGAGTAATCAAAATAAAAGGAAAAGAAGTCATGAGCAAAGGAATGATCTTTAAAAAATGTGTATATGTGAAATGTTCTCCTATTCTATGTGTATCCACTGATAATTACTGGTATCATCTCAATAAAACAAAAGCGTCCATCTCTATATTATAACTTACATTATATATTTTTATCTGACAAATTTAGGACTTTATCACTTCCTCTGCAACAAAGATTTTATTTCTTACCCAAGGGGAACAAGCATGTTTCAGGATGACAAAGCTTAGTGCATACATCCTTAGTCATCATGTGATACAGGAAATACAGGAACTTTATTTAAAATGCAGCTTGGTATATAAATAATGCTAAGACATTATATAATCTAATCTAGAATGATGCCACAATAAATGATGGCAGCAGCCTACCTCACTGACACGGCTGTTTTGTATGACTTGAATCTTGGTTGTCAGATGTTGGCTTTAAGAGGGGAAAAAGACTAGACTACTACTTCTACTGCTACTGATAATCCACACAGTTTCCACACAGAGGCAAGTGTTTTAGATTATTTTTATCTCGTAGTACCTATACGAGTTGTTCATTGGATTGGCAAATAAGTCATTTCTTTACTTGTTGAGCTGTTTGAAAGAAGTGTACAGCACAGAAGCAGGAAATGTTCAAGTTTTCCTGGACAATTATATCTTCTCCATCTGCACTAAGTTAATACAAATGGGCTAAAAGTTTTCTTCAGGCAGTGTTGTGACCTTGTCTTCAATGGGCAACATTGAAGCCAATCACAGTTGCACGTTATATCAGAGCAGCTCTACGTTTGACTTTATTGACCCTTCAGACACTGTGCAGGACTTGGTGACTTTTAATAATCGAGTGAAATTTCTGTCATTTCTGTAGTGTTTTTCACTACAATCATTATTACATTTTAAAAAACAGATTGGGAACCCTGTTAAAAAAGGAGGCTAAAAAGATGCACATTGTTTTTGTCAACACGTGACTATTGTTAAAAATAAAAAAGAAATGTTACTTGCAACACAAAATCAGTTGTAATACAGAGTTGTAGTACTATAAAGGTGAAGAAACATTCCCTTATCAGCAAGTTGATTGGTAACAGTTTTGGTATTAATGGATCATCCACCAAAGGCTGATTATTTGCCATGTCGATGTTCACAGGGAACACAGCCCTCCATGATTGTGCAGAGTCATGCAGTCTGGAAATCATGAGGATGTTACTTCAGTTTGGAGCTTCCATGGAGCAGGATGGCTATGGCATGACACCACTTCTCTCTGCCAGTGTCACGGGTCACACCAACATAGTAGACTATCTGACAACGCATCAGCAGGTCAGGTTCTGCCACTTGAGTTTATCTGTGAAGAAGTCTGTAGTTCAACTTAAAGTTCAATTAAATATATTTAATTTTACAGACAAGCCACAGGGAGCGGATAGATGCCCTGGAACTGTTGGGAGCCACATTTGTTGACAAAAAGAGAGATTTACTCGGAGCTCTGAAATACTGGAAGAGAGCAATGGACCTCAGATACATAGACAGTAACAACATTGTCCATAAACCTGAACCCAAGCAGCTAATCATGGCCTATGACTACGCCCGAGAGGTGAGTCTGTCTTTTCTGTGCTGATGGAGTTTGGCGATTGAAAATTGCATGTTTAAAAACACTTCCTTCTCTTCCCAGGTCACAAATGGAGAAGAGCTGGACGGCTTAATTTCCGACCCAGATGAGATGCGAATGCAGGCTTTGCTAATCCGAGAGAGAATCCTTGGCCCACAACATCCAGACACGTCTTATTACATCCGCTATCGAGGTGCCGTCTATGCTGACTCTGGGAATTTTGAGCGCTGCATTAATCTGTGGAAGTATGCACTGGACATGCAGCAGAGCAATCTGGACCCCCTCAGCCCCATGACCGCCTCCAGCCTGCTGTCCTTTGCTGAGCTCTTCTCCTTCATGCTGCAGGACAGAGCCAAAGGGCTGTTGGGGATGTCTGTGTCATTTGAGGACTTGATGGGAATCCTGTCCAGTAGCGTGTTGGAGATTGAGCGAGCGGTCAGGCAAAATGGACAAACGCCAGCTGACCCCACGCAGCTGAGCAAGGCACTGTCAATCATTCTGCACCTCATTTGTCTATTAGAGAAGGTGCCTTGTACTACAGAGCAAGATCACTTCAAGAAGGAAACAATCTACAGGTGTGTTCCTGGTTGTTTCATTTACTTTTGTAACAATTTCTATTCATTCCTGTATGTATTACTGTTTTTCTCTCACCGCTTTTATTCACCTTTGCAAATTTCTTAATGAGTCAGTTACCTAAAGCTCATCATTTGGTTAGATTACAGCAGATGTCCTCATTAAGATAAAAGACTCTCTGGTATTCATGAACCAATGCTCCTGTAATGTTTGTAGTTCATTCTCACATTATTCTTATTTCTGACTGACTGAATTAAACACATTTCCATCTCTTCAGGTTAGTGAAACTTCAGCCATGTGGTAAGAACGGCTACAGTCCATTACATCTGGCAGTGGATCGGAACACCACGTGTGTGGGTCGCTATCCTGTCTGTAAATTCCCCTCCCTCACTGTCGCGTCCATCCTCCTGGAGTGTGGGGCAGATGTTAACTGTCGGGATGAAGATGGCAACAGGTCTGTTCTAACTCCATCATCACCTTCTATTTGTCTCACTCATAACTCAATATTTATTCTGTAGTCTCTAATTTTAACATTCATTGCCCTTTGTTGTGTATAAATGACAGTACAATGTGTGCTAATATGAGGTAAAATTTATGTGAAATATTCTATAATACTAGAGTAAACCAACCAACCAGTGCCACAGCTTTAGACAATTCCATGTATCATGTTGTTTGATTATGTTAAGGTTGTTTTTAATTTTTATTTATTTTATTTATTTATTTGTATGTAAAGTAAAATTAAGTTAAGCCTGACTGTTCAGAAAAGTTTTAATATGCATCAACAATCTTGATGGGTTGAATGGCTTTAATAGCTACTGTATATCATAGAATGTATAATTGAAAGTAAATTAAAAATTTGCATCCCCCCACCAGCCCTCTCCACATAGCGGCATCAAACGGCCACCCTGACATCATGAACCTGCTCATTTCCTGTGGGACTCACTTCGACAGCACTAACGCCTTCCAGCAAACCGCCTGTGAACTCCTGGATGAGAAGGAGCTGACCAGGAATGTCATCCAGCCCATAAACCACACCACGTTGCAGTGCGTCGCCGCCAGGGTTATCATTAAGCACGGCCTGGAATACCGGGGAAACATCCCTGTGAAACTGGAGTCCTTTGTCTTGCTCCACAGATAATGATTGTGAAGGAGCAGAGGCTAAAGAGCGAACGGCTGGATGGATTCAGGAGGTGGTGTTGTTAGATAACAGAACTTTTGAGGTTCAATACCTGACTGTCTTCAGGTGTGAGGAGCTGAGAGAGACAATTTTTTTTTTTGTTTTTTTTTAGGGTGAACGTTTGCAAATCAGTACTGACTGCACAAAAATGTCCTCGGTCAACCAGGGCGATCTGGAGTAACGTGGATTAAACGGAGAGAAAGAGGAGACACTGTTCTCGTCCTTTGTGCTGTTTGATGCAGCTGCATGAAAACTCTGGGATCTAGGATTTATTTGGAGTGAACTGCAGCATGAGACAAACCAATGTACATTTGGGTGAACTGAGCAAAGGGTTAATGTATTTTTTGCTTTAGAAAACATGGATATTTTTTGCATATTCCACAGTGCTATTTATTGAATGAAACATGAGAGATTTTTCTCCATGCTGGCTCCAAACCTGGCTTCAACTTTGCCTGTTTCTTTCTTCTCAAAGCAAGAATTTAGGTATTTCTACACATGCTGGGACTTCAGGTTTTTGTTTTTTGGTCACTGTTGACAACAGTCATGGGCCCCTTCCTCAGTCATCAGTAGTTATTGTTTTTTTGTATTTTTACAGTGAATTTAGGCGTTGTCATGCAAATCTGGAAATCAGCCAAGTGGTGTGGTTCTGTCATTTGTTATATTATAGTTCCCACTCTGGTGTAAAACAAAAAGCTTTATCAGAAAGGTAATGTGTGTGTGAACAAGTGCTTTATACTTCCTATGCAGAGGATATGCTGTTGTAAAGAGAGACTGTTGTATTCTGTGCCGGCACTTCTCTGTGCAATATCTCTCATGAGTTTTTGTGTTTACCTCATCACCTTTTCCTCCGGTATCTGGCTGCTTCACTCACTGAAGGTGGAGATACAAATTCATGAAGGGTGATTGGGTGTGAATGAGTGGTAGTGAGTGCTGCACAGTTTTGTTTCTTAAATGCTGTTTTTTTTGTTTGTTTGTTTTTTTTAATTACACAAACTGTTGAGGACAACAGTGTGGTGGAGTGGAAATTCCAAATTGCACAACTGCCACTGAAACATCAGTGGCCAAACCTTAACCATCCACAACCGTTGATGTGTGCATGCCTGTCGACAGAACTGACCTCCCACAGTCAAACTATAGATGCCATTCAATGATGGAGAACTGTATTTGGATGCTGTCATCATCTGTGCATGTGCAGCAGCATCGTTGCGTTGTACAATTGCCATTCAAGTGTATTATATGGGAGCCAACGGCACAAATGAGAGGGAGGAAGTGTCGACGTACGGCATAGTACAGCTTTGTGATCTACGTTTGCACATTAGTTTTAGATGTGTGGGTTAAAAAGGGCTTTTTCATAATCCGTAGGATTTCACATCTCAGTTTATTCAACCTGACAGTTCTAAACCAGACATGGGGAATGTGTGAAGACTCCCAAGACAACTTGACTTAAATCTGCACTTTACTACAGCGGAGTTGAAATTGATTTGATATGCCATTAATCAAGCTCATGTCTTAATAACCAGTTTGACAATAAACCCATTGTTGGTGCCGAAAATTACGTTATTCAGTCACCACTGTTGTCATCTAACTGCCGCAGATAGAATGACCTGAAAAGAACCACACCTGACAACGTTGT